TGGGTTGGATGGCCTCTGAAGGCCCTTTCATGCTGGTGGGGAGGTGCAAGGTGTTGAGTGAAGTCCAGTAATGTGTGTATGTGGGTGGGGGGAGATTGCTCCTCAGAAAGAGGACCAGGGGCCAGCATTCCTATCAGGCTTCACATATGTAAATGCGCACACCTGATGTTCACACCATCTTCTGAGGTGGGTGCTCTTGTCATTCCCATTCTATAGATGAGGAGACTGAGGCAGACCAAGGCTAGTTAGTGATGTGTTCAGGGCCCACAGATACTGTGTCTGAGGTAGGATTTGAATTCAGGTCCTGCTATCTACCTAGCTGAACCTTCCTGAAGACGGGGCGTTTGAGTTGGGCTTAAAAGGATGGATAGGATTCAACAAGATGGGGAAAGAGGACATACCAGGCACAGGTGTGAACAAAGGTGTGGAGAGAGGAGATCTCTGGTTTGTGTGGTTGGAGTGTGGAGGGAGTCCAGAGTGAGCAGCCTGGACAGATGGAGGACCACCAGCCTGGGGTCAGCCTTGGAGGCCAGGCAGAGTCATCTGCACGTTACCTGGCGGTAGCACTACGTCACTAGAGATGTGCAGATCCCGGCCCAAAGAAGGTGAGCCGGGCAGTACAACGGAGGATGTATGGGATGGAGGGAGAACAGAGGCAGGAAGACCTCGGCAGAGGCCGCTAGGGGCGCTACATGCACAGAGGGCTGGGCCTGGAGTCAGCGAGCCTTGAGTTCAAATTCAGCCTTAGCCACTTCCTAGCTGTGGGTCCCTGGGCAGATCACTTCCCTCTGTCTACCTCAGTTTCCTCAACTGTAAAATGGGGATCATGATAACACTGACAACCTCGTAGAGTTGTTTTAAAAGTAAAAGGAAGTACTGTTTGCAAACCTTAAGCTCTGTCGAAATACTAGTTATTATTCTCATTATTATAATTCTATACATTTAGTGGGCACAGGAGCACAAGCTTGAGCGTGGCATAGGACCCCACAGGCTACCCTCTCTTTTGGGAGATGACAGCCCACCCTGGGAGCCATGAAGCGACTTGGCCGAGTAGCGAGGAGCTGGAATGGGATCCCGATTCCCAATCCAGACACTGCACTGCCTCCGTTTACCCTCTCTGACAAACGGAATAAAGATTGCACCTGTGCCGTCCCCTCCTCGGCGAGGAAACTTTCCGCCAATGCAGATTGGCGCCTTCTCTGCAACGAGGAGCCTTAGAGCTAGGCTAAGGGGTTTGCCCAGTGTCACAGCCTGTATTTGTCAAGGCAGGACTTGAACCCAGGTCTGCTTGAGTCCAAGGCTGGCTCGCCATCTACTCTGCCGCCCTGCCTCGCATCCTGTGCTCCACGCATTCGGAAAAGTTCATCGTCCTTCCTGGGGAGATGTCCTATTCTTTTTTTTTTTTTTTTTTCATCACAAGCATCTAATATTCTGCGTCGGTTATTTTTGCAAAATGCAGATTCATAACAGCGGCTCCTTCCCTGGAGGGTGGTGAGGATCACCAGATAATTTGGTCCAAAAGCATTTTATGAACTTCAAAAGGCCAGAGACATGTCCTCGATGCTCATCATTTCCCTTCCTGGAACGCCCTGCCCTCGTCCCCTTCCTTCAAAGTTCTGCCCTGGGTGTCGCTATGCTAATGGTCACGCCCTTACACCCTCCCCTGGCCGTCGGCTGTGATAGCCATTACGAGTGGTCTCCAGCTTCTGGGGCGAGATCATTACTGAGCACCGAGCTGAGGGCTGGAAGGGACCATAGAGGTCCCCACTTTACAGAGAAGGAAACTGAGGCCCAGAAAGGAAAGGTTACTTGTCCACAGGGTCAGAGGGGATTCCAAACCAGGTTCTCTGCCGCGGAATTTAGTGGGACTGCCCCGCCCTTGTGGCTGGCTACTGCAGCCCGCCCGGGTGTATAAAGAGAACTTCATTTTCTCCTTCATTCCCTTTGCAACATCAGAAACGTGTTTCCATGGAAATGAGGCTCCTGAACATTGAGTTGAAAAACATTATTTTTTTTTTTGAGAAGAGACTGAAATCGTGGTTAGTCCTGTATTCTTGTAGGAATGCCAGTGCTGTCCCACTCCACGTCACCAAAGCTGTGCTGAGGTGGCCGCTCAAAGCGCCACGTGCTGGGGCTGCCAGGAGGGCGCTCCACCCGCAGGCCTCCACGACTGCCCCTGCTTTCCCTCGGCCACGGGCTTGTTCGGATGCCCCGGGCCACACTTCGTCCCCATATTTAAGTTGGCCTACAGTACTGTCAATATTATCAATCGTGCTGGCCAACAATAGTCCATGCAACTGCCTGAGGTGATCTGCAAGGAGTCATTGGAGCTAAAAGTTCTGAATGGTGTGATGGAAATCGCTCCTGCGGGTGAAAGAAAATGAGAAGGTCACACGTGCTGACTGATGCGTCCTCTCCCTGCTCTCACCTAGAGTCCTCGGCTCCCGGTGAGGCTCCTGGCAGACGCCATCTCCTGCCTGAAGCAGCAGAGTGCGAGGGGTGTGAGCGCAGGCTAGCGGACCTTTGTCTCTGCATCCAGGGCCCTGCCCAGAGCACGCGCTTCAGAGCTGCTCGGAGCTCCGAGTAGGGAAGATCAATTAGCAAAGACTGGCCCTTTCAGGGTACTCCGCTGTCTAGAAAGTCATTCCCCAAGGCATTCTATCTGTATGCAACCCAATGATCAAATAACAGAAGTGACCTTGCACTCACTTTCCCAAGCTTTGCTCCACAAGGCATCCCTAAATCACAATTGGGACAAGGATTATTATTGCCATTTCCTAGAGGACGAAGCTGAGGCTCCTAGTGGTTCTCTGGCTTGTGGAAGGGCACATGCATGGCTAGTGAATGACTGAGCCCAGACTTCCCTCCCCAAGTTCTGATGTGTGTATGCACACAAGTGGTGGCACATCTTCTCTACTGGACCCTTTAGGGCTAGGATCATGCCCTTGTCTTTTTTCCTCTCTATCTCCTGTGCTCAGTATAGTCCTTTGCATTTAGTAGGCGCTTAATAAATGAGGGTTGAGTGGCTCTTGGCAGACATTAGCCAGCATAGAAGATCATAGATCCAAAAACTGGGAATGATGGTGCTAGGTATGGGTTTGCTAGATGAGGAAAGGGTTGAGAGACAGCCTCAGAGCTGGGAATAGGGGTGTGTGTGTGTGTGTGTGTGTGTGTGTGTGTGCGCGTGTGCACGCGCACGCTCGTGCATGTGCGTGTGTGAGCAGGAAGGTGCTGTGGCCATGGGTGATGATACTACAAGAGCCAGGTATCCACTTACAGCCCTGCCCAGGCAGTCCATAAGACCCCAGGCTCAGAGTCAAGTTTAGCTGTTTATGGTAGACAAGGCAGGTCAATGAGAACTGGGAGACCCTAGTGTTCTTAGAGCCAGCCAACCTGAGAGCAGAAAGGCTGGGCAGAAACGCTGGCATCCCTGACTCTGTAGCAACCTTCCTTCTTTGCCTGGGGCCTCCTTACATGTGCCTCTGTCTGTCTCTCCAACTAGGGGGAATTCTTCCCGGGCTTGCACAGGCCTTGGATCTGAAGAGGAGGCAGGTGGGTGGGTACATGTGACAAGAGAGAATGGGGATAAGGAGGCAAAGGCCAGATCCTGCCACTATGCGGGTCAGGCTCATTGTGGGGGACAGTGTCTACATATGGCTGGCTGACTGTTAGATGAAGGCCTGCTGCCTCCCTGGACAATGCTCTGTATAAGCCAGGCCTCCTGGAGGCTGGGCAGAAGCCCAGGCAGGCCTTCACATATTGGAAAGGCTCAAGTCTGGACTCCATACGTGTGGAGGGAGGTTCACCACCAGAAGGTTGACTAACTGGGAGTAAGTGCTTTTTGGGTCCAGTGTCCCATGAAGCCCATCTACCCCAGACTGGAGGGGTCGGTGTTGATGTCAGGGGCTGGAGTATTCCTTTACGCCAGTGAAGCCCCATCTCCTACAAGTCTGAGCAGGCCTTCAAGAGATGTTGAGCAGGACTTTGTGGAGTTATATTTCTGATCTGTACAGTCTCGGACTGCTTCAATAGCCCTTTTCTCCTCATTGCTAAATCTTGTGGGGTTTTTTGCAATGATATTTCACCCTTCCCATTTCAATGTCCTTTGGAAATGAGGCCGTAATAGAAAAGAGTCATATCTGAGTGCCCAACTATGAGCTGAGGGAGGCCCACATGTGTCTAAGACATGACTAATTTTCTTTGAGCTGAGCGGGTAAGAGAGTGTGTACAAAATGGTGAGCAGAGCAAAGCTCTTCCACCCTGACATCGGTGACTGGGACCAGACTGGAAAACATTGGCCCAGTTGCTGGGAAGAGGGTCATTGCCTCGTGCCTTCCTCGTGTCACCACCATGCCAGCGTGTCCGTTAGGACGCTTTGTGCTGGTGGCTTGCTCACCCCCTTCCAGTCAGTGGTCAGTCTTTGAATTGTGTGTCTCCTTCAGTGTGGGTTTGAGTGCTCTACACAGGAAAGAAACTTCATAGGCGCTGCTGGAGTGAATCAATCCGTGGTCATTTATTAAGCACCTACCATGTGCTACACACGGTGGTCACAAGCCCAAAGTCTTGCGAGAGACCAGGCAGATCTTGTTTAGGGTCAGTTCTATGTGGCAAAGAATGTGACTGGCTGGTTGATCACCAGATAAAAATTCTCCATGTAGTCAGCGCAGCCCACAGGGGCTGAGACAACATGAGAAAGAGGTTGACCCCCTGTCCCTCAGGTGGGGACTTGGTGGTCCCATCGCTAGGTTAGGTGCTTGCCCACCAGCCAATGGAACAGACTGGCACCACCCACTGAGGACCTTTCAGGTGCTGAGCTCAGGGAGGCCCCAGAGACGGGGACAGGGACACCAAGAGACCCTCAGCCTCCTGTCTCTAGGGACTGGCCCCAGGGGGCAGCACCAAGGCCTCAGTACTTGACAGTATTGTCTCACTTCTGTCTTTAAAGAGACATAAAAAGGAGCAAATTGAGACAGGAAAGATTTTGAGAGCTCGTACAAGGAGGTGATTCAGAGACGTCACTTCAGACTTTTATTTCATGACGTGACATTGAGAACCCGGGAGTTCTGTCCAACGCGATGCTAGGGTTTGACACGGGGATCTGATGGCAATCTTTCCATGAAGGATTGTATAGAGGCAAGTGTTGCTAGCACACAGAGATACACTGTAATCAGCAGAAGACTAGCCTTTCCTGAGGTTTCTGGCAGGATTTTGCTTATTCACATAGTATATTACACGGCAGTCTTACACACAGACAGACACTCATCTCCTTCCTTGCGGTGAGACATGACAGAGAGCCGATTTCACTGGTGCTTGCTCTGCCTTCTGGGCTGGCTCGGGGGCTGCTGCCGTGGGCCACACTGCCCAAAGGCCAGGCTTTCTCTCGGGCATGGGGCAGAGTAGCCACGGGGTGCCTTACCCAGCATCATGTTTCCCACCAAGAGCTAACACTGGGAACAACTTCATCTAAGTTAAGCTGGACCTAGGGGTACTCACCTCATGTGGAACAGCAGGAGCTTTTCATTCACTCCTTAGGCCTTGAACCAAATTCCCAAATTATATTTTAAATGTGCAAGTGGAACCAAAGCAAGGGGACCCTTACATTTCAGATTTGCCCCTTCCTAGACCAGTGCAGAGGACAGCAAGCTCTGGGTGAGGGAGCTAGCCAAAGTCAGAGCGCCAGCCATTGGTCATCTGGATTGGTGGAAGAAGGGACCACCCTGATAAAATCCTTACAGTTAAAGTGAAGTTAATGGCTAAAAAGTAAAACTGGCATTGCAGATTTTCATCTATGAAAACAACACAAAATCTGGAGAGCTAATCACCCCAGAGCTAAGACAGTATCTCACAGGAGCTTCTTACACAGCATGCAAAGCTTTCAGTGGCATTTTTCTACGGTGATCAAGGGGGAGCATTTCATTAATGAACAGACTTGAAATAATCAATCAAGAAGCATCAAATTCTTTCTTCTGTTTGCAAAGTGAATTTTCATTGTTCTTAAAAGAGATTCACTCTTCTGTCCTTTAAAGGCAGATTGTTTTAAGAATAATAAATCCTACATCTAGATTTTTAGTGGTTACCTAAAAACAACCTTGTTGTGGGCCCTGCTGCAGGCCCTGCTGTTACATGTGGTCCTTTTCCAAGAAAGAATAATTTATTACCAATAAATAGAATGACACAAACATTCTTTCCAACCAAATTGTATTCATTCTAGGCTAACTCTAACCTGAACAGAAATGAGTTCTTTTCATGCAGTCCAGGACAGAAGGACAACCTGCCTCCGGGGGCAGGAGCATGCTGCAGAGGCCCTGACCACTACAAGGGCTCGTTGGAGAGCTAGGATGTCAGGCACACAGGCATGATTGGGAGGTGGGGGGGTGGGGCAGCACAAGGGTTTCTTGTGATTCCCACAACGAGACCCCTTCATGCAGCTCTCTCAAAGTCCACGGTGCATCACAGCTCGTGGCCGAGGCTTATCAGGATAGAACGAGGCTTGACCAGCATGGACCTCAACCCCTGTGTGTGGAGACCTGGGCCCGAGGGACGCGCACCAGCCACCCAAAAGAGTGAGTGCCCTTCCCTGAGACCCCACAGACGCTTCTTCCTTCATTGCCCCCTAGTCCACGAGGCACCTGTTGTTTTCCTTGATGGGCAAATCGCCCGGAAGTAAATAAATAAATAGACAAACACGAAGGACATGCGTCTTCCCCACGCTCCTCAGCCGATCCTCCTTAAACTTCATGTCGCCTCAAGAAGGGAATGGGAAGAAGTGCATGGAGAGCGAGTCAGTGAACCACGGCTGGCAGGCTGGGCATCTCCTGCACTCGGCTCCTGCGGACACAGATTGAGGACAAACAGACCAGGTTGTTCCTGAAGGTTTTCATCTCTCCTCTTCCTATCTCAGCATCTTCTGACTGTGGAACGGTTTCTGCATGCTCTGGCAAGTCTGACCAGGTCACTCAGACAGGGCAATCATCCTCTACGCAGCCCCTGGGGAGTACCTGACCGTGACAACCGCACCATTAAGGGCAGCTTGTGTGCATGACTGGGAACACAAAATTAGAACGAAGAAGCCCCCTCGGGCCCCCAGAGAGGAGCTTCCTTGACCATGTACTAATGATGGCAGCACCTTGGGGCTTATGGAGCAGCCGACCTATGCCGTCTCATCTGATCCCCCAGGGAGGTGCTGTGATTAGCCCCATTTTACAGAGGAGGTCCCTGAGGCTGAGAGAGATCGCAAGACTTGTCTAGGGTCATAGAGTGAATAAGCTTCTGAGGCAGGATTCAAACCCAGGTCTTTATGAATCCCTACCATGTCCCTTATGACCCTTAGCTGCTTCAACAACATCTCCAACAAGGGGTCATTTCTTTTCCACTGATGCCACCACAATCCACTTTTGGGGACTCCTCTTAGCCTGGTTTTTCTTACACAGAGTTCAAGTTCTTGGCCATGTCCTGGGGGACAACCCCTCTTCCCCAGGATGGCCCTTCACATGCGAGGAAGGCTGTCCTCCGCTCCCCTAATTCCTCTTTTCTAGGCTAGACATCTCAGAACCCACCCAGCTGACTTGTGGGATGGAGCCAATCCCTTCTGAGGTACAAAAAGACAAGTCACTGAATGTTGGCACAACCATAGGAGTAAATGCTAGAGCAGCCTGCTAAGGGTCTTTACCCTACAGGAAATAAAGGCCAGCAGGGCTACCTTTCCCTTGGTCTGACCTGCCCGGCCTTCTCTTTGTATGGTGCACCGTGTCCACTCCTTTAACCCTGACAGCTCCTGGGGACAGCATGGGGTCTGTCCCCAAGGATTCCTGCCCTCCTCTGGGTCCTCCCACGTCCTCCCTGACCCTCCCCTTCTGAGATTCTCTTCCTAACCAGTTCGGGCCCTGGCTGTGCTTCCTACCTAACACTGGCACTCCAGCCTGTCTCCCGGTGGCAACGTGGAACATCAGAGTGGCTTTACCGCCTGGCCTGTGTCTGCCAGGGCCTGTGGGGCAATCGTGGCCACTGTCAGTAGTAATCAGAGTGGGCCACAGCACAGAATGACCTGAGGCTCACCAAGTGCTTTCTGGGCAATGACAAAGTCCCCTCCCTCGTAAGCAAGCACACGTGAGATACATATTTGGAAAGCCAGTTCTTTCACAGCTACCCAGGAATGGGGAGGAAAGCCCCCAAGAGCCTGTGAGCAGAAGGTGTGGTTAATTCATTAGGTTCAGATGAGTGTGAGGTACCGTCCACTGACTTTGGGCAATGTCGGGAGCTGGGGCTGCCCCTTCCTCCATCTGGGCAGACCCTGGGCTGGGTGCTGGGCACTGAGAGAGGAGACCCTGCTGCAGCCTCTCCCCCCCAGCCAAGAAAGGCCGCTGAAGGGGGTCCCTGAGGAGCGAGAGTCCCTCAAATAAGGAACAGGGACTCCTGGTTCTGCCAGATCCATCACTGAATAATAATCGTGGGCAAGTGGCTGAGATTAGGATGGCTGAGTGAGGCAGTGGAAGGAGCACTGAGTTAGTCCTGGGTTCAAATCCTGACCATACCCCTGTTAGCTGCATGATCTTGAGCTAACTACTACTAGCATGAGCTAGCTACTCTTAGCCTTAGCTTTCTCCCTGTAACATCAGGACAATATCTGCCCTTTAAGGGCTGGGAAGGGTCCAGCCTGGAAGTGTGAGCGGAATCCTTTGTCAACTAAAACATGCTTCGGAAACATCTAGGATTATTGGCCCGTAAATCTTCCTAGCCAACCTGAGGATAAGAAACATGGTATGGAAAGCATACAGAACTGGCCTTGTGTCCACTTACAAAGGGAGAGCAAACCCCAAACGAATGAGGCCTGAGGCACCAGAACCCTGGGTCACCCTGGACGTCAGTGCTCATGAAACCTGGGTTACATCCTGGGCTCAGTCCCCTGATTAGAAATGTTCAGAAGGATACCCCCAAATCAGGTCAATAAGTATTTATTACAGGCCTCTGTATGGATGACCGCAGGCCTATCACCCAGCCTCCCCGGGCCTCGGTTTCCTCCTCTGGGTGGTCTCTGACATTCCCTCCAGCTCCCAAACTAGGACCTCGTGACTGTATGTGCCAGGGAGGGCATGCAGGGAAAACATCAACATTATGCCTTATGCTGTCTTTGCTCCTTCAGGAAACCGGACTCGTGGATTTTTGAAAGACTTTTTAACAAGAGTAGAAACAAACACAGCTTTCTTGTTTCACACTCAGTCAATCAGACCAGCCCTCTCCAAAGCATTGTGGTGAGCTGGGTCTTAGCCAATGATGCAATGGATGCACCCTGACAGACCAACGTTTAGATATGGAAGCAGCAGCGTCTCTTAGGTGTAGAGACGTCCTGCCAGTTGAATCTCAGCATTTTAAACCCAAAGACGGGACAGCCATCCCATTTCCTCTAGAGACTTCCTTGATTTTCACTTGGGCTGTCCCCTGAATGATCAAAGGTGACCAGCAAGGCAGTGCTGAGCCTCCCCTGCATTCAGCTGGGCTGGGTGGGCCTCTGAGGTGCTGCTGGGTCCAGTGCCTGCCCATGGCCCCTGCTGGGACCATGGCCACAGCGCACAGAGACAACGGGATGAAGCGGCCTTATACCAAAGGGCAGAACAATAAATGGGGATCCTGTATGGGAGGCAGCATCTGGTGCTGTCACACTGTGGATCGGCCTGTCCATGAACATCAACAAGTGAACGTACCTATCTGCTGTGGAGTTCCTTCTTCAGGCAGGATTTGAAGGTTGGGTATCTCTGAAGCGTTTTGTAGCCCTGGGGAAGAGGCAATGGAGAAGGGAGTCGGAGCAGACAATCAGAGCAAGAGGCAGGAGGACCCGAGCATGAAAAGACAAAGCAAAGAGGGCCAGTGGTGAAGAAGCAGAGGCTCTGCCTGAGAAATCCCTGTTGTTACAGCCCATACTTCTCACCCAACACCGAGTGTGCATGTCAAACCCTGGCCTGAGAAATGACACGGCCACCATCATGGGGCCACTTCTGATACTTGCTTCTGTCAACGGATGAGTCTAGTTTGCCTAGAAGAATTGTTTCTTGGTTACTTTATAAAGCACTGACTCTGTCCTTTCCTCCATCCTGGGATGACCCCAGGAAGGTGTCTGTTTGTGGGACATCTGCTCCTCAACTCCTGCTCCAAAGCCACCTCTGAGACCCACTTCCCAGGGAGGGGGAGGAAAGAGAGACAGAGAGGGAGAGAAAAAAGGTTAGAGAGAAGAAGGAGAGACAGAGAAAGATTCAGGGAGAGGAAAATGGGAGGAGAGGGGAGGAGAAGGAGAGAAAAAAAGGCAGAGAGACACAGAGATAAAGGAGAAAGGAGAAGGGGGAGAGGGAAAGATGGAGAGAAGGAGGAGGGGGAGAGGAAGAGACAGGGAGAGAGAGAGAGGGAGAGAAAAAGGTGGAAGAGAGAGGAAGGAGAGGGAAAGGCAGGGAGATGGAGAGATAGAGGGAGAGAAAAATGCGAGGAGAGAGGAGGAGAAGGAGAGAAAAAGGAGGAGAGGCAGACAGAGGGAGGTGGGGGGAGGGGACATGCCTTCTTGTCCATAGGCCCATGACAGGGGCAGTATCTCTCAGGGCATGGGATGGGAATTATCTAACAGGGATACAGAGAAGGGGAGCAGCCTTCTCCAGCAGCAGAAGCATGTTTTGCTAGAGGCTTTTGGGCCAAAGCTGCCAATCTGACGTGCCCATTTCTGGAGCCCCTTGACCTGCTGGACTCTGTCTCCACAGAGCATCTTTGCAGATTGCAACACAAACCCGGCCTTTGCCAAGAAGGCCTTCTGTGTCCCACAGTTCAATCCACTCAATCTAGGACTTCTCAGGTGGGTGGCAAAGGTTCCCGATCCTGCCTGAAGGGGCTCTCTCCTTACCCGGAATCCTCTTTGCAGCCGATCTTTCATGATGCCGATAAATTCTTTGTAACTCAGCTGGTCATCTTTGTCAACATCAAAGATCTTGAAGATGGTGTTCACCAGATGGGGCGAGAGCTTCAGGCCGGTGGCCACGTAGACGGCACGCTTGAATTCATCTGGGCAAAGGGCAGGAACAAGGGCAAAGTCGTGCTACCTGAGATGGGGCAGAGCTGCCCCCTCCACCCTCTGCCCCTCACTCTTCATTTAGGGCCACAACTAACGGCCAACGCCTCTCCCGGTCCCCTCAGGCTTTCCTGGGGTGTGTGTATATGTGTGTGCTCCACCTGGGCACCTGGGCTCCTGCAGGCTGGGCTGGGCAAGACCAAAGGTGCTGGAGGCCCCTGACTGCCAGCAGCCTCAGAAGGGACCTCATGTCCAGAGGGTAGCAAGGTTGCAAAGAGCCCCCTGGGAGGCAGGGCCTGCACATATCCTTGTACCCATTCAAGCTGAAGAAATGGAGGTTTGGGGAGGTGCAGTCACTTGCCTAGTGTCACCCAGAGAGTAAATGTCAGAGGTGGGTCCTATGCTTCCAGAAGCAGTGTTCTTCCTATGACACCAGGTGATATGGGAGATATGGATGGGAAGCATCATAATAAAAATACCTAACATTTATATAGCACTTACTACGCGCTGGGCTCTGTGCTAAGCACTTTACAAACATGATTTCACTTGATCATATGAACAGGACACTGTCCTTGCCTTCAAGGACCTCATGGGGCCAAGGCTGGGGGAGAACAGGGGCCAGTCCAGGCAGGACACGTGCACAGGGACGTAGATTGTTTGTACTCAACTGAAGCCTTGTTGTCTCCCCTAGCCTACCGTGAGCTCCTCGAGGGTTTTACTTTTCTTTGTTTGGCCCACAGTAGGGTCAACCCTAATGTTTATTGATTGACACAAGTAACTATAATAAAAGGCACTTTCAGTGCCATAGGAGAAGCTCACACAAAGGGCTTTAGGAATTCAGAGGAGGGAAGGAGAGATCGCTTTTAGCTGGGGAAAATCAAGGAAGGCTTTATAGAAGAGAAAGCTGAACTGCATACAGAAGGATGGATGGAAATGAGTGGTGTAAGAGCACCAGATTTGGAGCTGGAAGACCTGAAATAATGTCTGTCTATCCATCCATCCACCCATCCATCCATTCATCTATCTATCCATCCATCTATCTATTCATCTATCTATCACCTATCTATCCATCCATCCATCTGTACATATATGTATATGTATATATATCATGTATGCATGTATAACTTAGTGAACCTGCTGGCATTATATCAATGTTCACTATTAACATTGATCCTGGCTCTGCCACTAATTAACTGCCACTAAAGAATCTGAGATCTTGACCAAGTTTTGGGACTCAGTTTCCTCATCTGGAGGTTGGACCAGATAATTTACCCTTTTTGCTCAGATAATTTGATGGGAGCAGGGCTATTCTAGGAAGAAGGCCTGGGGGGTGAGGAGCACAGAGAACCCAGAGGTTCCATGGCTGGACATCTCCCCACTGTGGTCAGAGAAAGGAAGAGAGGCCTCCCTCTTCGGCCCCCCCCCCCAATATGTTAAAGCAGTACTTTTCTGTGGCAGCAAAGATCTGGAAACAAAGTGGGTGCCCCTCCATTGGTGAATGGCTAAGAAGAGTGTGCCTGGAAGTAACAACGGCCCAAGGAACTGGGGGAAATGACAAATGTGAGAAATTCTGTGAATGGCTATAGAGAGTCAAGGCAGCAGGACCACGCCATCAAAACACCCAAAGACATCAACCATGGAAATTGAAGAAGGGCACAGAGACCTCAAATGTTCCATTGTGTAACAATGACTGAGCTGGCCCCAGAGAAAGGATGATGAGGAAGTACCTCCCTCCCACCTGGTAGGAATTCCCAGGGTGGAATACTTCGTGTGCAGCAGCCACGGGCAGGCAAAGTGCCTGTCAGATGCTTCTGCTGAATTGTTAAAAAAAAAACCAAAACAACAAACAAAACAAAACAAAAGCAAAAAACTCGGGAGATTCCCTGTGGTGTCCCCCCCCCCCCCCCCGCCCCCTCGGGGCTGTATTTGGGAGAACAACAAGGATCAGTGACACTTCTTTAAAACGTCGATGAAGGAGGAGGATGGTGAAGACAGGCAGAAAAAGGCCCTGGCCCCTGTAATGTGTTTCCTTAAGGATCGAGGAAGATACCCTCACCCTGTGTGTTACGTTCCGGAAACGTTCAGTTTCAGAAGAGGCGGCTTGTTGTAAACTTCAAAGAGATAGGCGGGCGTTCCAGAACGCCGGGCTGACCTGGGGAGCTCCGCTGGAGGGGGGTGCTTTGCCGAGCTACCCTCGCCCCGGCTCGCAGCTCGGCTGCACCACCACCCTCTCCGTCCCCAGCCCCTGAACTTCCTTGCGCGATCTCTCTATCTCCCCCCCCCCCCCCACCCCAGGCTCTTCTGGTGGCTCCCACTTCACCAAAGTGAAAGCGAGGACATGATTTGGCTTTGCAATATAAAAACCTGCGCTGTTTCTGCTAGGTTTCAGAACTTTCTGCAGTGGTTTTATTCGAAAAGACAAGCACTTACCTTGCCCTATAGAGCGACTTGCAAAGTTGTACATGTTCAGGGCAATGGCGAAATCCTCCAAGTTGTTCAGAAACTGGAAGAAGGACCGGAATTCGTCGAATGTGATACCCTGTTAAAATGAATGCTGGTCATTGACCACCTTGCTGCTAGGGCGATGGCAGGTGTCACCTGGAGGCCTTATTTGTGGCTCCTGTCGGTGTCCCATCCCTGGCAGCAGGGACAGGTCTACACAAGGCCTTGCCAGCTTTCCTGCATCATGGGTGTCAAAAGTAGACATTTTCAAGGCAGAACACTTTGAAACATTTGCACCTTCTTACTCAAAATGGAATGGGAAGCTCTTTCCACATATTTCCATTAGCCCATAGTGGATGGAAAGGTTTTCAGAACATATGACTGAAACCAACAAAGCTGTTTTATGAATGGCTCAACCAAAATGATTTGATGAAAATGTAATAATTAGTACTACTTTAAAATGTGTGCCATCGGTGTTAATATTCAACTTTGAAAGCAAATATGTTGCCTGTCAAGAAGGCATCAAGTAAGATGATTTCTTAAGATTCATTGGAAAATTCGCCTGTAGACAGAGCTTTATGTCACAAGTCAATGATAAAGCAGAGTTAAAACCCGGCATTTGTCTAATTCATTGAACATGTCAAATACCTAAGAGATGTCCCACAGGCATCTCAAACTCAGCATGCCAACCACAGTTCTTCAACCTCAACCTTCCCTTCCTCTGAACACCTTATCCCTGTCTAAATCAGCTCCCTCCAAAGTAGGAGAAACTGAGAGGAAAAGACCAAGTGACGTGAATTGAAAAGTGTAATCGCCCATACTGCATGTCCAGTCAGAGAACTTGTAACAGCCCAACCCTTGGGGCAAGCTCTCGCCAGTAAAGACAAAGGCGTGTGGCACCGAGGGCTCTTCATCATGGGGACCAGGGCACCTTGGAAGGCTTGCAATGGCTGACCTCACTTCCCTGCCAGGCTGGCTCTACCTGGATGATACTATCTTCCTATCCTTTTTGGGTTTGTGTTACATGGAATGCTGACATACGGAAAGATGAGGAAATGGAAGAGTCAGAGGACGGCGAGGCACTGGGTAGAAGTGAGTTTAAATGGTGTTGTCACTATCAGAAAGACAGATTGCTCTGGAGCATAGGAAGGCCTAAGACATAGCCAAAAGCCTGACGAGGACTGGGCCTGCCATCACCCCAGCCCCAGGATGTCCAGAGGCAGGCTTTAACCCAGACTCAGCCCAGACTTGTGGGCTGCTGTCTCAAAAAGTGCAAAGAGAACTGAGAGAGCCAGGCAAGATCTCCAAGGGAAAGGGCGGGGAGCTCTGATGACCCCGGACGCTTAGGGACACTCTTGGGCATTGTACTGCTGGTCGCTCCTGTGTGCCTCCAGGTGAGAAGGGCTGCTGGTCACTGGGCTCCAAGACCCTGGCACAATGGGTCAAGAATGCTGAAACTCTCTTCTTCAAACCCAACCAGCCATTGCTCCTCCCCTGAGGGACGTGGGAACCCCGAGAGAGGTCAACTCTTGCCTCTGGTAAGGAGTCATTTCTGTGCATGTTCCCAGACCCCTGAGGGTGTCTCAAGGGACTGGTGGCCCAAGAGGAGCTGTCAGTAAGTGTGCAATGATGAGAAGCCCAGCTGAAAGCTGCTTTGGAGCTTCATCTGCCCAGAGCAATGGGCCCTGGCGCCAGTGAGCACATTCCATTTCTCCCCGCGCCCATCACTGCCAGAGACACAGAGGGGCTCCCTGCAGAATGGTCCAGAGCCATGGGAACAGGCTGCAGATACCTGATGGGGCGGTGTTCAGTGGTAGCAAATGCCACCAATCAGGGCTTCATTCCGGATTGTCTAGACTAAGAAAATGGTGGAGAAAAGGCTAATAATGCCAATTAAATTTAAAAGTGTGTCCTGCACACGTTCTTGTTTTCTTTCAGAGAGCTGGTTGCTAATCACTCATCAGCACACTCCTACAGACCCAAAATGATGATCAAAAACATTTGGCAAAGCCCCGATGGAAACAAAGGAAGGAATCCTCTCTTATGACACCACCTCCAAATGCATCCCCAGCAGGCTTCCCTGGCCCGGCGTCTGTGCCTGCAGTGCGAACCCCCACAAACAGCAATGTCAACATTGCTACAAAGAGGATGCTGAATGAGCAGAGCCCAGGGATTTAACATCCAATTACCGGAGTCCTTTGGTCGACAGAATATTTGGTTTTTATACTAAATTTATCAGGAAGATTCTTTATGGGAAAGAGATGTGGTGTCCGAAGGTGAATTGACTACTTGCTCCGGTTAAGCTTTTTGGAGCCTGGGTGCCACTAAAAAACAACGATCAATTTGAACCCCAGCACTACACGATGCAGGGGGCCTGGGCAAGTTAACCCCACTTCCTGAAGCGCTCAAGGGAATCCTAGGTAATATCTGGTGAATCGAAGCAGCTCACCCTAAGGCGTCCCCAGCACCATGCACACTGCCATAAGAGAAAGTCGGATGACCACGAGGACGGACTGGGCAAGGTCCCATGCCTTTCTCCCCATGGAGCTGCCTCCCTGCCGCCGGGACTGGACAGAGGAAGGCTGTCAGCGGCTTCCCAGGGCCACAAGGCCGCTTCACCACCAGAAGGGCAGATCCCACCCCTTCCCCTCAAAGGTGGCACTGGCCACCCCCTCCTGGTGGGCAGCACTGAGTCTTCAAGGCCCCTTCAGGGTTTCCTTGCTCCGAAACTTCTGACCCCGTTTGGTTTGTTACTTAACAAAGGCATAAACCGGCGTCTGGTTTCCTTCCGCCGGAGCCCCACTTGTGGGAAAGCTCCTTTCAGCCGGGATAAAGTGCCTCATTCATCAATGCCTCACCACGAAATGACCCTTTAATTATGGATTTTCTGGAGATGAATAAAGTGGGCCTGGAGAGACAGAAGCTGCAGACTCTAGTTTGGGAGAAGCGCCATTGTGCCAGTGCCGGGCGCAGCGGAGCTCTTTGAAGACAGAGGCTGCTGGGCGCGCGAGGATCCCTGGTACCTTAAGACGTTGTTTTTCCTCGTACCTAATTAGGGGGACTGAGAACGTTCCTACATACTTTCATTAGGGGGTTTCACATCATTTCCCCCTCCCCCAAAGCATTTTAAGACAAAGGTTAAACAGGATGTATGCTTATAGACCTTAAATGAGCGTGTGTGCATTCGTGTGTGTGCTCATATGTGGGCATGCTCTGTGTGTAAGTGTATGTATGGCTGTGTGTGTATGTATGGGCATGCTCTGTGTGTGCGGGTGTGTCGTGGGCCTGGCTGCCAAGGCAATTTACAGAACCAGAGGCAGTCGATGGTGTGGGTTATTGCTAACAGGAGAATCAAGGATAATAAAAAATACCTTTTCTTCTATCATATTGTAGCGCACATTATCCAAAAACACGGCTGTGTTTTCCACATTTGTGTATCGCAACAGAATGCGGGCAAAGTCTTCCTCACTGATGGTGTTCATGCCGTTGGAATAGGAAAGAAATTCAATTTCCAGAACCTCTGTTTGCAGATTGTCCATAAATCTAGGAAAGGAACAGAACGGAAAAAAATGAGCAAGGCGATTAAAAACCCCTGACAACCCATGACAGACCATTGCTGCCCGGTGCTGAAATAATACATCTGGAGGCCTAGGAAGATGTGCTAACAGAGAAGAAAATTTTTCTTTTCGTTTCCTTTCTTTTCTTTTTTTAAGTCGAGCCCAGTAAAACATGTCTCTTTTTTTTCCTGAATTCTTAAAAAGCACAAATTAGGTTGGAGGAAATCTCACCTACTATAAGGTGAGGCAAGAACTAAGCTTATTAATTATACTGAGGCACTGAAAAGCCTGTGGTTTCTGAATACCTAGGAAATGAAAAGACCCACTTACTGCCTTTTTAGAAATGAATTTACATCATATTATATTTACTGAATAACTAAGAATATGTATTCTAAAACCAGTTTAATTTGGTGAGTGTCTCTCCCGTCCATTGCCCTGAATTGGTGAGGCCACAAGAAGGTCCTGAAAGGTGGACTCAACATGAATGGGTTTTGGAAGATGTCACTGTGGCCAAAGTTACAAAATGTAGGATAATGACAATGCAAGAAACCTCTGGGCAATCTTAAAATGAAAGGGGTGAGGAGTGTCTCAGTTTAAGAAATCTAAGAGAAGATGATTTTAGCTATTTGAGGAGGCAGTGAAGTGCACTGAGGTTGCAGGCATTGCCTGGGATGGAAAAGCCTGGAGGTGTTACAAGCTGCACCATTGGAGGGGCTGCAAACTCCGTAAGATCATGGTGACATGGAAACATTTAAAAATAAGATCCGCTCAGAGCACGGGGCCACCGGCTTACTCAGCCACGCTGGCGTGCCACACTGCTGATCCTCTCCTTCCTGAGAGATGGGGGTCTCATTTAGAAGAATGCTGCCTGTGGCACTCTGGGTTTTCACAGAGCTCTTTGCACCAGAGAGCAACCCTCTCCCCCCCCCCCCCAGGAAGTCCAGATTTCACTGGATTTCATTTTGCAACTCCAGGAATTCCCCAGCAGTGGTCAGTGGCCAACAGCTTTGGAGAGCAGAGAATAGGGTGCTCTGTGTTATGCCACATTTGATCAGGACCCTTGGAGGTTCTCTGTCCCTGTGGTGGCCTTGACCATATGAGACTTGGAGGGGCAAAGACAAAGTCAAAACCTTGGCATCCCTCAAGAGGCTTACCTTTTATGGGAGAAATCACATGTCCATATTTAATATGGATATGGGAATCAACATAAAAAATAAATACAAATACACATGGTGGGGTCTGGGAAAGAGGGCACCAGCCATTGTGAAGGGCTCCGTGTACAAAGTGCTATTTACACTGGGGACTCCGGAGGTTAGGAGGGAGGGCATTTCAGGCACAGGGGCTGATGACCAGAGGCCAGCCAGTTTGCCTGGATCCGTGAGGTGGGGCAGAGGAGGCAATGAATTCTATTCTGGCCATGTTGATCTGAGACTTCTAAGGAACATCCACTATTAAGTATCTAATAGTCACTTGATAAGGCAGAAATGGCGTCCAGGTGAAAGATTAGCAACTGACTGGATTTGAGAGGGGAAAAAGAGAGAGGGAAATGTCAAGAGTTGGCAAACCTGTGTGACTTGGAAGACTCTGGTGATGCTAGCAGATGGGAAAGTGAGGAATAAGAGAGGTTTGGGGTGGGGGAGGTAAGAGCACTGTTTTGGGGGTGACAAGCAAAAGATTTGGAATTGGACATCCATTCCAGGCATGACAAATTTGTGGATTTGTTTTGCTTGATTCTGCTTATTTGTTATGATTCTCTTTTTAATTCAAGGGAGGAGGAAACTAGTGCTGGGGTTGCCAAAATGGAAGAAAAAGAAAAGGAAGAAAAGAGGGTCACGAGAGCTTTTTTTTTTTTTGTGAGGCAATTGGGGTTAAGTGACTTGCCCAGGGTCACACAGGTAGTAAATGTCTGAGGCCAGATTTGAACTCAGGTCCTCCTGACTCCAGGGCCGGTGCTCTATCCACCGTGCCACCTAGCTGCCCCACATTAGAGCATTTTTAAGATGCATAAAAGAGAACCAAAGGAAGGTCAGAAAGAAATGCGGGCAAAACAGGGCTGCTTTGAAAGTCACATGGTGAATTTATTATATATTTTAAAAAAGCAACCGGTATAAAATAGAGGGGATTCTTACATATTGTAGGATTATGGTTCTTAATCCACTCAATGAACCCAAAGCTGAACTCATTATTTCCCTCCCAAAGTGTCCAAACTTCCCTGTGATTGTTAGGGGCACCACCCCCTTCCAGTCCCTCAGATTTACAACCTAGGAGTCATCCTGGACTCCTCCCTTTCTCTCAACCCTCCACATCTAAGCAGTTGCCAAAGCCTGGTGATTTCACCTCTGAGCCATCTCTTGGATATTCCCACTTCTTGCCTCTCCCCTCATGCCTGGACTATTGCAGTAGCCTGTTGGTAGGTCTGCCTGCCTCCTTCTCCATTCAGCCACCAAAGTGATTGTCCTAAAGGGCAGGTCAGACTCTGTCCCCTCCCCACCCCTGGCCACTCAATAACCTCTGGTGGCTCCCTATTGCCTCCAGGATCAAATACAAAATGCTCTGTTTGGTGTTCAAAGTCCTCTACCACATTATCTTATCCCCATTTCCAGTCTTCTTACATCTTACCCCACGAGATCTGCCATCTGGTGACGCTGGCCTCCTAAGTGTTCTGACCACAAGACAGTCCATCTCCCAATCCAGGTACTTTCTCTGGCTGACCCCCATGCCTGGAATTCTCTCCCTCCTCATCTCTACCTCCTGGTTTCTCTCAAGTCCTAGCCTATGGCTCCCATAAGACTTTCCCAATCCTTCTTCATGCTACTGCCTTCCCTTCCCTTTGTCAATTAACTCCAATTCATCCTGTCCATAGCTTGTCTGTACCTAATGGTTTCATGTTGTCTCCCCTGTTGAACTTCTTGAGAGCAGGCAGTCTTTTGTCCCCTTAGTATCCATAGTCCCTGACACACAGTAGGTGCTTAATAAATGTTTGCTGACTGACTATCCATGAGCAATTAACATTTTTCAAATTATTTCAGCCTCTATTTCCATTAATAGTATTCAATAGTTGTATTTGTATGGTTCCTTTGTGTATCATGGCAGATAGATTCCCAAGTGTTTTATATGTCCTATAGTTATTTTAAATGCATTTTCTTTTTCTATCTTTTCCTGATGGGTTTTGTTGGCAACATATAGCAATGCTGATGATTTCTTTGGATTTATTTTATACATAACAACTTTGCTGACATCATAGTTTCTTTGTCATCAAGTGAACAACAGGTTAGCCATGGTCTGGAAATCCAAATCCAGTTCTCCACCACTGCTTTCTTAACCAGCTGTTACTGTCCCAAATTGATTTTTCTCTTCTGCATTCCTTGTCTTCAATGAATTGGTAACAATGAGGACAATACAATCTGCTCCCTCGTGACCTTCAATTTTCTGCCTGTGACTTGATGTAATTGTTGAAGATGCCTTTTAGACTCCTCCTGAAAGTGCCACTTGTGCCATTTTGTGGGAACCACTATGAGTGGGTAACGCTCACTCACTCAGACAAGTATGGAGAGCCTCTTGGCTAAGTCTGGTACACAGGAAGACCAGAGGCTTCTCTGCTGTAGTGGGTGGGCGGGCAGAGAGCCCGCTGCTTCAGCACTTCTGAGCAAGAAACCACCAGCTTCTCTTTATTGGCTCCTCCTTCCTCTGCCCCTCCCTATGTCATCCTTGCAAGGACAAGGAGCTTCTTCCTTAGCAATCCAACTCTCTCTTCTTCAGCAAGAGCTTCCAATCTCTTTTCCAGCTCTAATTGTACAACCGTCCTTTTCCTTCCATTCTTCTTTGGTAACAAACCCTCTTCCTCTCTTCAGAAGCCTCTCCACTTGCACCCCAGACCCTTTCCTGCTCATGGAAACCTTGCTCCTGCTGTTTCAGGAGCCCTTTGTCTTCCTTAAGGATCTGGAGTCTGGAGAGGCAGATAAGCGTACAGCTGGAACAGGCAACGGTCATCCAACTGGAGCCGAAACACAAATATTGCATGTGATGCAAGTCCTTGAAAAGGTTCCTCTGTTGTTCATGATAGTTAAGATGCTCAGCCTCGTTGCTCAAAGCTATTGAAGGGTGTTTATACCACAACACCAAACAGCTGGTGAGATTTTGTATGACAGTTTGTCCCCCCTCCCTCTCTAGATTCGGCCTCTAATCTACTTTACTAGCCCCAAACCTCCAATCACCCCCACGATTTCCTTCCATCGGTTCGTCTTATGCATGCCCTTCCCCAGCTCCATAGAAGCCACAAGCAGATGTATTCTACTTCAGCATTTGTCAGTGTGATATTCAATGATGGACGACATCTTTGTCACTTCACAATTAACCAAAAAATGCTGAAGATGCAAAACCCCCTTGGTCTTACTCTTTGTTGGTTATGAACAAACATCTGATGAAGCAGAACAAAATATACCTTAGAGGCCATTTTACAACAAAGGGTCTCTCGCGCATACATCCAAATCACTCCAGATTCCTTGGACGACAGAGCTACAGAAACAGTCCTGTTCGGTGGTCCTCTGGCAATACCCATCAAACAAGGCATTGAACAGGGAAGGGATGCTGGGCAACGTGGTTTGCCACGTGATGGAGAATGGCCAGTGCAGCGTCCAGGTCGAAGAGGGTTTCTCTGAGGACGGTGTGCTCCTGTTTAGGAAGGTGTCCTGGAGGGGAGGGTTCTGTAATCACTCAAAGGAGCAGAACTGACCATCTGCACAGGGTGTACCAAGGAGATGTTAGATTTCAGCATGCAGGTTGGATAGACCCTCCAGGGCCCACTAGCATAGACAGTGCTCTTGGAAAATGGGGTGGGCCTGCAGGTGAACTGGAGAAGAGCAGGCAAAGCTCCTTGACTGACTCTGTTACCCATCAAAGTGAAGGTTCATCTTTTCAACGATAGCATCATCGCAGAGTTGCTATATGGCAGCAAGACACAGAGTATAACTGCATCCAAAGAATTAAAGGTGGGTCTACAATGGGCACTGGAGAGGTGTGTGGTGGATGTGAGCAATGAGGGTGCAGAAGAAGGGCAGTAATGATGTCATCCAGAAGGTGAAGTGAGGGATGATGGGTGGGTGTCTGCGGGGCTCCACTGGTGCCCAGGAGAAGGTAAGCAAAACATCCAGGAAATCAGTGGCTCTCTGGTTGTATACATACAGGCCTAGGTTGGGCAGGCACAATGGACTGTGATGTGTGATCTGGTGAGATCAGGGATCCATTTAGGTCTTTGGGGAGTGCTGTTTCACAGGCCTCCAAATCAAAATGATGACACCATCAAGGCCTTATTAGCAGACGTGAGGCAGTCCCCAGAGACGCAGAAGCTTTGGCAATTTAGAGCATGCTGTACCTTAGGTATGAATTTCTTTCCATTCCTTGACAGGATATTATAAAGGTGATGGCAAAAAGAAATGACTCAATATCATTGTGCAACATTAGGACTGTTTTTATTCAAATATCAAAAAGGCCGAGGTCTTATGCCAGTGGTCACCATCTGTGGTTCTCAGCTGTACAGATTTAAATAAAAATCCCAGGCAGTAAGATGTCTGCTAATGACAAAAGGAAAGCACTAGCCTTGCTGATGCCTTTAAGACAAAAACTTTTTGAGCACTTTCATGATCCTGCCCCCCTTTGTTAATAGTCTAGTTTATTTTCCAAATGTGTTATATGGAACCGTGGACTCAGACTTGGGGCTGCTTCTGTTGCCATTTTCCTTACCTGTAAAATGAGGAAAAGGTGCTACCAAACCATTAAGGTCCCTTTAAGCACTAATTAAGCCCTTAAGATCTACATTTATCATTCCAAGTGTAAATTAAATCTTACCTGTAAAAGTCTTCAAAGTTGAGCTCAGCTTTTCCTTTCTTTCCAAAAAAGTGTACAAGCAGCGTAGTATCTGACACTAAATTTGTGATGTCATCAGCACGCTTCAAATAGTACAATAAAAAAGTTAGTTCTAGTAAACAAAAATCAACAAAACATAGAAAGAGATTCTTCTGTATTCCTTGGATAATTTTAATAAGGGCCATATAAAGCATTAAAAATAGCTATACTTTAATTAGGACCATATGAACCATGAAGAATAGTGTAGTAAAAATTGGATGATTGTTACTGAAAAAGGACATTATCTGGGATGTATAGTAATAAAAAAAAGAACACGGGACAGAGACAGAGACAGAAGAGAGAGGAAGATGAGACAGCTGGCCTCAGAGTCAGGAAGGCCTCCATCTGATCCCGCCTCTGACACATACAGTATGGCCCTGGTCACTTCAATCTCCTGGGGCCCCAGGAAGTTCTCTAAGATTATAAATTACAAAGCAAGTAGCACCCTGCATTCAATGAAATCATAGGTCTACTTTAAAAAAAAATCAAGGTCTTTGGTGCAGTATTTAATGACTCTAATTTTTTAAGTGATCATTTCCCAAATGTGCATTTGGGTTGCGTCTATGCTCAACACATTAAGTAAAGCAGTTGACAGTTGTCTCCACGATTTGGTTGAGCGCTTTCTCTTCAAGCAGACTTCAGTTTCCCCAGTTCAGGGGCTTTCTGAAGAGCCAAATTCCCCAACAATGAGATGCTACTGAGAACTCTTCAGTCCATAAAAGACTCTCCAAAGCGCCATCCTCAGATTAGGACAACTCACTCGAGTTGTGCTAGTACAAAGCTGAACTCTGCCTTGGCATTCTGACACAAACTTTTCGTGGTTGTAAGATGTTAAATGGAAAAACTCAATGATGCTCACACTGTCTTGTGCCTTTTTTAGACAAGCAATTTCAAAGTAAGTTTGTATAGTCTATTTTACAGAAGGGCAATGCATTTTTGGAAGACTGATCCTGCACCAGTTCAATGGAGACGATGAATTCAGTCAAATGAGATTTCAGAAATGTAAATATCTGAGTATAGTCCTTTGTCACTATGAGTCTTACTAGCATGAGAAGAAAACAAATCTGGCAGACTCCTTTTTTTCATTTGGTCAATGTCCTATGGCATGACTTCAGGTATGAACTAGCAAGCTCATAAAGCAGAAACGATTATGCCACCTCCTATGGTCTCTTGGGCTGTTAAAAAGCATGGAAATACTGACTGGTTCTCTAGTTAATTCCAATTCTATGGAAAACAGCTGGGCTTGCTTATCTCAAACGTACATCTTTCCCCTATCAGGTTCCTCTTCCTAGCAGTCAGTGTAGGCAAGCAGAAAGATCTCTGGTTCTGAATCAGAAGACCTGGGGTCAAATCCCACCTCTGATGACTACCACCTGCATAATCTATGGCAAGACACCTTATCTCCCTGGGCCTCAGTTTCCTGGACTATAATGTGAGGGGCCTGGACTCGATGAACTCTTGAGGTCCCCTCCAGGTCTGCACTGATGATTCTAAGATCTGAGATTGTGGTTTCTTCTGCCTCAAAGCCTAAGAGTTATCCTGGGAGAATATTGGTATCCAAGACGGGCTCCAGGGTCAGTGAGCAGCTTATGGTCACTTAACACAGATTTCTCCGATTGATCTAGCCTCAGTGCCTTCTCCTACTCATGTCCGGGTTGAACACATTCTTCATTTGTCATACCTGTACAGTCCAATCCAAAAAGCATGTGCAGGGGCAGCTAGGTGGCACAGTGGTTAGAGTGCCAGGCCTGGAGTGAGGAAGACTCATTTTCCTGAGTTCAAACCTGGCCTCAGATTTAACTAGCTGAGTGACCCTGAGCAAGTTACTTCACTCTGTTTGCCTCAGTTTCCTCAGTTGTAAAACAAGCTGGAGAAGGAAATGGCAAGCCACTTCTATATCTTTGCCAAGAAAAACCCAAATGGGGTCACGAAGAGTAGGACACGCCTGAAAGGACTGAACAACAGCAATAAAAACCTGTAAGCAGAATAAACCTTCCCTGTTTCTCTCTTTTAACCATGACCATTTTTCCTGCTGCCTTATCTAAGTCCATGATTTCTTACAGGTGACAGATCGATTTTGCTTTCTAAGCTCCCCTTCTCTATTTTACAGATGAGTTTATACAATTCACGGTTATAGTTAATTTTGTGTTTTCCTCCATCACAGCTTGTACTTTTTCCATTCCTTTAATTTTGCCAGAATTCTGAGTCAAGCTCAATAGCCTGTAACTTGCACCCTTGACTCTTTTCTCTCGAAAGCCAAAACCAGGGCAACATGATATTGTCTTTTCCCAGCAGCGATTCAGCCATCCCGACTCCAAGTTCTTTCGGTACCCGTGGCTGTTGTTCTTTGGAGCCAGAGAACTTGACTGCATCAGGGCAAATAGGTAATTTCCTTATTATGTACTTACTGATCTTGGTTATACTAAGAATTGATCAGCTCCACCTTTTCTTATCTGCAGTCATCACTTCATCCACCCTGAACAGTAGTTCTACTATTTCTTTAATTATCCTTTCTCCCCCAAAGTCATTAAAATAAACTTCCCCCCCTCAGCTGTCTTTAGTTTTCATTGTCCTTGGCTCATTTTGAGTGTTAGTATTTAGCATTCTTCTTCAAGAGGCCCTCAACACTTTTGTACTCATAGAGGACTTGCCCTGCCTGCCCCGACTCCAGTTGGGTTCTATCTGCCTAATATCGTCCATCTTTTGTAAATATCATTTTTAAAACCTAAACTGGTTGATGTGTTTTCAGTATACACACATCAGTCTCTTTAGATAACTTCCTTCCCTCCTTCCTTCCTTGCAGTCAGATCTTGTTCAATGCCAATCTCACCTGCTATCTTCCAATTTTAAAAGCAGAGATGGTTTTCTAACATGTTGCTTGGCACAAAGTATGTGCTTCATAAAGGCTTCATTCATTGATTAGTTCAATTCTCTTCTCTGAGGAAGTCATCAGACACACAGACATGATGCTCCTGGGTAACCTGGGAGTCTTTGGTCTCATTATTTCTTGGTTCTAACCCATGTTTTCTTTAAAACAAAACCCAAAGCTCTTCATTATTCTTGCCTGGCCTTCCATTACATTGATGGCCCTTCTTAGTGACTCCCACCTGCAGTAGAAGGGGTGCTCCATGTGACAAAGAAGTCCAGTGAAGTAAAGCTAATCTATACCACTGGCCACACTGGGAAATACAATCCATATGGTCAATGTCTTCCTCTGTCACCTAGGACATAGTGGTCACAAATAAAGACTCAGGTTGGAGTGTCTTGTGTAGTTTGGAGAAGTTTGCTCACCATCTGAAAAGGATTTGGGATGAATAACGTGTAATTATCTTCATGGGGGTGAGTACAACAAGGTCAGGTCAAATCGCTCATGAAATATTTCTTCTTGTTGTGGTATACGAATGTAATGGAATACTACCGTGCTTTAAGAAATGATGAGCAAGCGGATTTTGGAAAAACCTGGAGAGACTTCTATGAACTGATGCTGAGTGAAGTGAGCAGAAGCAGAGAACATAGTAACAGTAACATTGTGTGACCATCAACTGTGAATGACTTAGCTCTTCTCAGCAAAGGACTCATGATGGAAAATGCTGTCCACGTCCACAGAAAGAACTGATGGAGTCCAAATGCAGATCGAAGCATCCTATTTTCACTTTCTTTATTTGTGTGTGTATGTGTGCAGTTTCTTCCTTTTGGTCTATTTCTTCTTTCACAACATGACTGATATGGAAATATGTTTTACATGATTGCACACATGTAACCTGTATCAAATGTTTGCCATTTTAGGAAGGTGGGAGAGAAGGGAAGCAGAAAAATTTGCAACTCAAAAAAACCTTTTTAAATGAATGTTAAAAATTATTTTTACATGTAATTGGAAAGAATCAAATATATTTTAAAAGGACACATTCCTGTTGTCTTTGGGTTCTCCAAATGAAACCTATTTAGCTGACTCCTTGCTTTACCCTTCTGAGAGCCTTCCATCCATCAGACTTCCATCTAGCTGCATCTTCTTTGTTTTATGGCTTCATTTATAACAAGACTTTCAGTAGGGATTTAGTGGTTTACTAAACCAGTAGTGGTTTACTTTGTCCAAGTTTTTTTCCAGTTTCTTCCAACTTCTTGGATAATGGACTAAGGTAGTCCCTTGCAAATGCTATTAGTCAAGAAAATGTTTGCAGAGGATCTGGTCACTGTCTCACCTTACTTTACCCCTGTCCCCAGCATCCCTGTAGAATCAGAAGGGCCTTGCCCAGGTTTGAAGGCCACTTTATCTTTTTGTCTATGATCATATGTCTATGTCTATGTTCTGCCCAGGCCAAACAAATGTATGGCCTATAAGATAACCTTCGAGTGATATTCAGATAACATATGGTAGATCTGAATGGATACATGCAACCCCCCACCCCAAACACAATTTAAAAAATCAATGACAAATGGGAGAACTTAACAGGACTATATCAGATGAGGGTGGAATAACTACGTTACAGTTATTCTAGTGAAATTCATTATTCTGAAGAGATTTAAGAGAAATTAAAGAATGAAAAAGAATAGATTTTCTCTGGATTTAGGAAAATTCCCACAATTCCAATAATATCATCCAGTCAGCATGCCTGCCAGGGATGGGTGCCTTCTCCCTTACAAATATCTGATTTCATAAGCAGAGATTCACACTTTGCTTTAACAACGTACTCTCAAAAAGGCAATGAGCCGCGGGGAGTTAACGTGGTATGTTAACTATTAATTTTTGTTGTTGTCATTGTTTAGTTGTTTCAGTTGTGCCCGACTCTGTGACTGGCAAAGATACTGGAGCAGTTTGTCATTTAACAGATGAGGAAACTGAGGCAAACAGGATGAAGTGAGTTGCCCAGGGTCACACAGCTAGGAAGTACCTAAGGCCACATTTGAACTCCAGTCTTAGACTCCAATCCAGGAGCTCTATGCACTGCACTACCTAAGATCACAGAGTAAATCAACAACTCAGTGAGGTCAATTGTTCTTCAGGAGAACTGGAGCTTTGACCAGGCAGGGGGTGGGGTGGGTAATC